CATTAAACCCTCAGATTTTTTAACATAAACCAATACTGTAATGTGTGCCTTACTGTAATCCATGGTAGTTTTCCTTCTCTTTGCTGCTCTTCCTTTTAAATCCTCATGTCTTCTCATGCTGGGGGAGAACTTCCCTTTGCAGCTGAGTGCCTCTTCCTGTAGTGCTGGCTCAGGTTGTGAACCTGCACACAGACACCATGTATCCATTCCTGAGACAAGGCAGTCTGCTGCAAAACATAAGTTGTCCCCAAGCATGAGAAGAGATACAGATTTAAAAGTAAGAGCAGCAAAGAGAAGGAAAACTACCATGGATTACAGTAAGGCGCACATTACAGTATTGGTTTATGTTAAAAAATCTGAGGGTTTAATGTCACTTTAAGTCCTGGTTCACACCTAGGAGTTTTTGAGCAGTTCGAAAAGCGCTTTTAACTGCCCAACACAAGAAATCCCACGATTTTCAATGGCCTTGGTTCACACCTGAGCAGGAAAGCGCCAAATGCCCAAAAAGGTACAGGAGCTTCTTTGGGCAGTTAAAAGCTCTTTTCTGCCCCATAGACTTCATTGGAAATGCCCAAAAACGGCATGTTGCACATTTTCGTGAGCGTTTTTGCGCCTTTAAACATGTTCTTCCATTGCCCACAATGATTTATGAACTGCCAGTCAAAACGCCATCTTCATGTACGCTCGTTAAAACATGCATTAAAAATGTGCACAATGCGTATAAACGCACAAATAACCGCATGCTACTAACTCACGTAAAAACGCGCAAAAACTGTGCCGCCTAGATGTGAACCAGGCCGTAAAGTAGAGCTGAAGCCAAAACTTTTTTTTTATTTTATTTTGGATTGAGTAAGGAAGGGTAATACGGTAAGCCCTGTCAGTTATTTTGTCATCTGTGTCCCAGTGGAGGAGATTTTCCTTCACTTCCTGTCTGATAGTCACAACAGGAAATAAGAGGAAATCCCTGGTGGTCAGTGTCCCCATTGGAAGATTTCCCATCTCTTCATGTTTTTGTGACAACCCACATTTTAGATTTTCTTTCAGTGATAATAGCCCCAAACAGGAGGAATCTCCCTAACGGGGACACAGACAGCAATACAAACCTGGCAGGTGTTCTAATCCCTGTCTGCTCTATCTAAAACAAAAAAAGAACAGTTTTGACTTCAGTTGCATTTAAAAGTGTATGTCAAGCCAAAATATTTGGGGGGGGGGGTTTATCAAAACTGGAAAGCAGACAAAATCTGGAGACGTTGCCCATGACAGCCAA